TGGACTTGAGCCAGATGTTATTACTTATTCAATTTTAATCCATGGTTTCTGCAAGAAAGGGGACATAGGGAAGGCCATTCAGTTGTGTTGAGAAATGAGATTGAAGAACATGATTGCCAACTCCTTTGCTCATGGTGCTATTCTATCTGGCCTGTGCCAGAAGGGATTGATATCAGAGGCAAGAATACATTTCGAAGGGACAAATAATCACATACCGTGGGACCAACAAGCATTATATGACCATATTTTTTAATTTCTATCATTTTTTGAATTTATAAAGATCTTATATGTAAGCAGGGATGTTGTTTTGCCAGTCCATGAATTAGCAAGGAGGACTCGGCATATGAACTCTTTTGTAAATAGTTATACCAGCTCTGTAAACTTAATTCATTTTTTTGTGGAACCATGTAAAGGGATCCAAATGCTTTCTTAACCTTCCCCTTTAATGAAGTCTAGTTGATCTTTGAGGAAAAAAAATGATTGCATAAAAAAAGGCTCATTGACGTTATTCACATTTTTATTTTGACCTTTTGTGAAACTCAACAACCCCCCCCCCCCCCGCACGAGCTAGCTACAACCATGGCCATCAAACCACTGTCCAAAAGGTATATCAGAATACCTTTATCATTGATGTCACACATCTGCACTTTTAGAATTTTAGAATCTTCAATCCATTTGGCATCACCTCCATTTAATCTGTTAGCATGTGCTTTCTTCAGGGCTAATTGCTACTCAACAATTTTGCTTTGTATTGTTTTTTTTTTTGAACTTCAAAAAGGCGATTAGGGCTCTAATGGTAATTGATAAAGTCAATGGGAATTGATCAATTAGTCATTGTAATCAATACTAAAACCAATGGCTAATTTGACTACTTTTCTGTGCAAAGGAGATTTTATGAACAAAGTTATAACAAAAGCATTGTCTTTACTCTGGACTTCAAATCTAAAACTTGTATCAAGAATAAAGAGGCCGGCACTTACCAAACAATGATTCTGATGTAGTTGTATAAACTGTTTGGACCCTAGGAAGTTGCTTACCTAAGTGTTGCATAAACATTCAAAATTCACTTTAGTGTTCATAGGAACTGAGATAGTGGCTAAGAAAGAATGATATGGTTTAGACTTTGAAGCCATAGTTGCAGTTTTAGTGTCTTCCTTAGCTAAAGCTTCATAAGAACTACTCATTGCAATATGGAATTGAAATTTGGGTACTTTCATCATAGAAATGTGCTTCCCTTCACCAATGCTCTTTTGGCCTTTGAGGTTGCAGCAGTGTGGCTCTGAAATGCTGATAATATGGGAAAATTTTAAAAATTGAAGCGCTTTTGAATTTCAAACAACGAATTTAGAGCTGCATGGGTTCTTGGGTCATCACCATGTTAGTTTTGCCAAGTGATGCTGGTGCGACAACCTCTTATTTCTTTCTTTCTCAGTTATCACATCAAAGAGAGTTCTAAATGTGGATATTACACATCTAATAGATGGGCAAGAATTATTTGTAGAGAAAGAGATGAACAAGGATCATGGCATATATTTAAAAATTGAAATATTGAATTAAGTTGTTCCATTATCTTTTAGAGTTGGAAAAACAATAATAATACATGACCATTACTTTTAAGCCAATAAAAGCGCAAATTGATTGATATGAACTCTCAAATTGTGCTTGTACTTTACTCTTAATCTATTTAGTCTGTAAAAGAAAAGAAACTATTTATGGTGGGCATGACCTCAGGCAAACACGTATAGAGGAACTTGTGGAGTCTGTGTTCTACATATTGCTCTCCTTCCATAATCAAGTGTGGGCGAGTATGGATTCAACTAGTTATCTGTTGGGTGAGACATCAGTTCCCGTGTTTATTCAACCTAGGAGAATAAAACAAATGCAAAGAGAAATAGGGTAGTATGGACGTGACAGGGGAAACAAGGATGTAGCTTTGTTTTCTCGGCAACGGAGTTCAAGAGGAAGCTTGCAGTCATTGATGACATTTATAATGGCAGAGAGACGACAGACGAGCTTTTTCTTTTTGGGCTTGGACAAGCCGATGAAGACTCGATTGGGTTTTCTGGCTGATCTAGTGAGGAAGACACATATCTAAGTCTGAGTCTGGCCTGACCAATGGGAGGGAATAACGCAAAGACTTGCCTTGATCTCGGCAGAAGCACTGGCGTCAATGCTGTTGCCGCACGAGTGGTTAGTGACGTTTTCCATTTGGGCCAGTAACAAAAGGGTAAAATTAGTATTTAAAAAATTATGCATTAGTTAACGTTTTCTGTGTAGGTGAGTGACAGAAGCTAGGGAAGTTTTTGTCGAGTTTCTTAAAAGTTCAGGGAGGTATTTGTTATAATGAAATTATAGGGGAGATTTTTATGATTGCCAGAAACTTTAGGAAAAGTTTTTGTATGTTTCCTTTGATCCACAAGACACTACTCCGTCTTTAAATTAGGAACATCTCCCCCTTTAGGAGACATGTCTAATGGAAATCGGATTTAGTCCTCACAAGACTATATTCACACCCTTTGTATAATCCCTTGTAGTTTTATATTGGGAATGCAGGGCTACAAGACTGTCAATACGAACTGTCCCAATGACATGTCTAATGGAAATCAGATTTGGTCCTCGCAAGACTATGCTCACACCGTTTATATAGTCCCTTATAGTTTTATATTGGGAATGCAGAGCTACAAGAGTAACAAGACTGTGAACACGAACTATCCCAATGGGCTGATGTAACCCTGACGTAACAGTTATAAGAGTAATAATATGATAACCAATTTGGAGCTGAGATATCAAAGGCAGGGATGTATGAGCGTTGCTGGAGTTGTGAACCATTACACATTCATACTCTTAGTGGTAAGGTTAAAACGAATTCAGATTAGTGGACTGTGGATCCAATGAAAGGTTTTACGCTAGTAATAAATTCATGGGCTCCATTGTGAAAGGTGTGGGTCTTTGATTCCAAAAATCAATAGTATCGGTTCCATTTAAAAAATAGGGGTTTTACCGTTCAGTCCACCTCTGAAATTTTAGCTCTATCATACAATTGGGGCTAGGTGCCAGTTTGGAATTGATGCCAATTTACAGGCACGTATGGGTGTTATAAGTGGAGGTGATCATAAATTTGAATTGTTGTAGGTCTGCAGTTCAAATCTGAATTCTGAGCTGGGGTGCAGTCTAAAAGTCCCTAAACAATAAGCCTTGGATGAGCACCCCTAAATATCTTTGTGCCTGTTTGACAAGTTTTTTCCAGAAGATCTGTTATAAGATCTGATAGTTAAAAGACGTGATAAGCTTTTGGAAATAGATCTTAGAAGACCAAAAACTGTTTGGTTGAAATATTTTTCATATATCTCATGAAAGATCATAAAAGCTAGAAGACCGTTTGGTAATGTGATAAAAATATGTATTATATATATATATATATATAAGAATGTCTTGTGTATGGGCCAACGAACCTTTCATTTAACACATGAGACTCACATGCATTTTCTAAGGTGGACCCCACATACCATTGGTGGACATGTATGTGGGGCCCACATACAATTTTCATGGTGGGCCCCACATACCATTGGTGGGCATGCATGTGGGGTCCATGTGTGGATATGTATGTGGAGCCCACATACATTTTATAAGGTGGATTCGACATACCATTGGTGGACATGCATGTGGGGTCTATGTGTGGACATGTATATGGGGCCCACATGCATTTTACAAGGTGGGCCCCACATACCATTAGTGGATATGCATGTAGGGTCCATGTATAGGGCTCATATACATTTTACAAGGTGGGCCTCATATACCATTAGTGGACATGCATGTGGAGTCCATGTGTGGACATGTATGTGGGGCCCATATACATTTTTCAAAGTGACCCCACATAATACTTAATGTGGGCCCGCATACATTTTTTATGGTGGGCCCCACATACCATTGGTAGGTACCACTTACACATTTAAATAGATTTTTTGTAAAAAGATAACCCGTTTTCTCCCAAGCGTGTGTATCTTGCCACACGTTCGAAGAAGATGGGAGGCGCTAAAAGATTGTAAAAGTTTCATTTGACGCTTCCTAAAGAAACCCAAATTAGGGCTGTTGGCATCTTTTATGGGTTAGAGCTTTTTCTCAATAGATCTTTCTATTGCCAAACGGAAAAAGTCCAGAATTCAGGCTTTCGAGCTTCTAAATGCGCGAAACCCACGTGGAAAGATTTGCCAATCGCGGCTTTATCTTTGGTTAATCGTCCAAATCAGTACTTGGCCTAACAGGCAATGGTGAAATTTCTTTTGTACATGCGCGAGACAGTGCAAGCTGGGTTGGCAATCTGATCATCACCTTACTCTGCTTCTGATCAATTAAGGAATTTAGTTGGGCATGGAAAAGATCCACCTACCTACCCAAAGATCCTGAGGCCTTGCAAGGCTGCTGGAACGAACTGAGCAGTTCAAAAGGATCGATATAGTTATCTCTGTTCAACTTTATTGATATCAGATTAAATAAACCGTTGATTCGAATCAAAGATGGTTTCGATGATTGCATTGCTGCAGATGATTCAGGTGTAGCCAGGCATTGTGTCGTTGACGACGCCATTAATGAAGAGATGCATACGGAGATGCCTTGAGAGATTAAGAGAGAGAAAACGGTAGCCTGAGCGAGCTTGATACCACAAATGATTGGAGAGTAATTCAGAGTCTGAATGTCATTGGATGTGTTGTCGGTGCGAGTATTTATATACAGATTGTGTTGATTACAGAATTTGTAAACAACAAGACAAAAACCGACTAATTAATTAATGACATTTTTTGCATGGTTATGCATCAGTCTTGACTTGACTTGTAACTGCTGGAGCTTGTATTGGTTGAATTCATTTAATGGTCCAACAACATAGTTAATTACCCATAACAAGTGAAAACTACCTTCTCTTTGTCTTAATCTGAGCATATCGATTCATATATACCTGTAACTCCCAGCTTGTCCCAGGTCATCAGATGTATTACAGTGCGTGGGGTGTGAAGAGAAATTAAATCTTTTAAAACCCCCCAAAACTAAACTTCCTGCAACTCATTTCCTTCACAGGCTGCAACTCCTKCTGGAAAGAATTTTGAGCAGAATGAGAAGGTCTCCTAATTCCCTCGTTTTCATTTGTTTCACTATTTTCTTTCATGCGTTGGTAGTTAAAGCAGAAAATCCTCTGGCACCAGCTTTGTACGTGTTCGGAGACTCTCTTCTCGACAGTGGCAACAATAATCTTCTACCAACGATTGCCAAAGCGAATTACCTGCCATATGGGATAGACTTCGCCAGTGGGGTCACGGGGAGATTCACCAATGGCAAAACAGTCGCAGATTACATTGGTGAGTCATGGTGTCAAATGTGAAACATTGAAATTAACCCAAAACTAATTTGTTTCTGGGTGCTGTGTATTCATCTCAATGCTACTTGTTATATATTCTTCCACAGCTGAACAACTTGGGCTACCATTTGCTCCTCCAGCCTTGAGCCAGTTCAAGTCTGATATCATAACTGGCCGGAATTATGCGTCTGGATCATGTGGCATTCTCCCGGAGACTGGAAGCCAATTTGTAAGGAATTGATAATGTCTACTGCTATTCATTAGATATTAATGGCTTCTTTCTCAGTTACTTTTGTTTTCTCCAGTTTGGACTAATGGGTTTTGTGCAGGGTAAGTGCCTCAACCTAGATGATCAGATCGACTTGTTCCAAAAGACTATAGAGATGGAGCTGCAACCACACTTGGGCAGTTCCAAGGAGCTGTCAGACTACCTTTCCAAGTCCATCTTTGTTATCGCTATTGGAAACAATGACTACATCTCCAACTACCTTGAACCTAATCTTTTTAATACCAGCGAAACGTACACTCCTCAAGCATTTGCTCAACTACTCGGAGGCAGATTTTCTCAAGGCATGGAGGTAAATATTCACCATTCACTCTTCAATGTCCGGCCAGTTTCCTAAAGCACATTGTTTTCTTTATATCTTCATACATCCCTCCTGCAATTTGAACTCTGAACCTGAGTAGTAATCATATCTAATACAACCAGAATACGTAGCATAAATCATATCTAATACACACGATGCAGAATTCTTAATTCCAGCCCCCTAGTTCTAGCCCTCTCCCCCCTATAAACCACATCCTGCCCGTGAATTTGACATCAATTCACAGTCAGGATGCATTTCCGCTGTACTTTGGGACTATAAAATTTTGATCTGGGCTGATTGGTCATTCTCCCTAAATCATTTTAACCATCTCAATATCAGCATGTTAAAACAATTAAGCTACAATATGTGCGCTCATTTTTTATTTTAACCGCTGATATATCGATCGAGACCGAATCTAATAGGCACATCAAAGTAAGCACGTTAAATGAGCACTTGATAAATATTTTGACAACTATCAAAATCGGATATTAATCTTTTTCAAGGGTGGGGTGAGAGTATTTTAAGCGACAGGTAGGCAAGCCTTTAATTGATGTATGTTAAATTGTTAATGACCCATCTTGATATTAGATGAAGTTACGTCTTGGTAGGATCAGAACAATAAATTTAGGCCCCGTTCCTTTTCATTTGGTGGATTTACAATGAAACCCTATGGGTCATGGATTTATTTCCATTCGAACTTGTGAAAGGTTTACTGGTTCCTGATTTTCATGGTCTGACCATCCAGCCGGTTCAATTTTGGGTCTTATTACACTGCAATCTGTGCAATGAAGGGGCGTTCTTTTTTGGGATTTTGAGAGGGGAGAAAGTTGGTCAATGGGATTTTGGTTCCTATTGACCACCAATCCCATGTTCCTTTTTCATATCTATGTGAGGATCAGGGAAAGTTTATTTTCTTGGGTATCACTTACTAAATAACTTTCACATTTTGGGGGGAAAGTTGCCAATACTTGAATGAGACAAAAAGACCCTTTTTAATAATGAATTTTTATGGCTAAAATGGTCATTGTCTTATTTACGTGGGAAATAAAAGAACATAGATAAAAACACTTACCTGGGTAAGTATTTCTCTGAAAATACTTACCCAAATAATTATATTTACCTGAATAAATAATTTACAGAAAAACGAACGGGGCCGAAAAGATAAATCAAATGAGTATCTTAGGATCATATTTATTTATGAATGTTAAATATTGGAATCTTAATGGCAATAACAACAACATATGGTACACTTATCCTTTGATTTATTGAGAAATAAATGGACAGAGGCTTTACAAATTGGGGGCCAGGAAGATTCTAGTGTTTGAGATTGGTACGATTGGGTGCATGCCAACATTTGCAAGGAAACAACAACACGAAGGACCATGTGTTGAAGAACTAAACCAGCTTGTATCACTTTTCAATGATGGGCTTCCTACAATGCTGAAACAATTGACAACTTCGCTTCAAGGCTCCACCTTTACAGTGGGACAAAGTTCGAAGCTTGGATATGAAATGATCACAAATCCTTCAAGATATGGTGAGCTAGCATTGATCAGAACTAATTCCACCCTGAATAATCCCTTCCAGGCCTCCTATATTTACAACAAATTTAAGGATTTACTTTACATTAATTGTGGATTATATTTTCTTCATCAGGGCTGACAGATGTAACAGACCCATGCTGCATTGCGGGGAGCGATGGAACTTGGCCCTGCGTTCCAGGTTTTGTTTCGTGCTTCGACGTGCGCAAACATGCCTTCTGGGATGCTTTTCACCTCACTGAAATTATATATTCAACAATCGGGACCCGTTGCTTTAATGATTCTTCTGTCTGTTCTCCAACCATCCAGCAGCTCGTGCAAGTTTGAAATGCAACAATTAAAGGAGGATTCCTCCTCTCTTTCTCTTCTATCTATCTTTCTATATATATATATATATTTGCTTTTAACTATTCTATTTATCTGATCTACCGGTGTTCTGATCGAAACCTGTGGAACCAACGTTGGCAAATTGATTATATATATATTGAGTCATTTTTTCACTTGCTGCTCTTATAGATCTAATGGTATGAAAGGACCATCTGTTCGCAAATTGCTATTTTATTGTTAGTTCACACCCTGCATAGTTTTGAAAATCGAAATGGACTGATTGATCTGGGAACTGGTTATGGTTCTGGGTTTGGTTTTGGACCCCAAAATTGTCTGATCGGGGTTTGAATCATTTGACTCGGGAATGTGTGGTCAAAGTGATTCTGTTTTTGATTGGTTTTTAAAACCATAGTTCATAAGTACAGAGAATGCTCATCTCTTTTTTGTTTGACTAGTAGCATGTATGTGCATTTGTATGTGACAGTATCTCTATGACAAAACTATTTATAATCCATGAGCAGTTTTTGAATGGTTATAAGTGGACAGTTTCTGAATAGTTATAAGTGGATAATTTCTGAAGTGAGAGTAAAGAACATATATGCCCTCTTTTATACCCATTGTATACTTAGACAAGGGGTAGAAAATGTCCAATAAAAATTTCAGAAAAAAAGGAGCGTTCTAATAGATTTGCTATGTGACTGGGCTACACAACTGGGGTTAGTGGTTAGCCCTCCCCTAAACCACCAACATCCCTAATACGGGTTCTCCCATTAGCTGATGAATCAAAAGGCCCAACCCACTAGCTCTACTACTTAGAGCCCAAGCGATCGTTGCATGAGGACCTTTATTTTCTTATTTTCTTTATGACAGTTATGAGGTATCCAATCATTGAGTGATGGCCAATGATTGCTAGTAGTGACATGGCAGTAGCCCACAGTGATTGTAACGGCAAGGATAGCCTATATATAAGCCTTGCATATGAGAATAATACACAAATATTTTGTCAATTTTCTCTAATAACTCTTGAGCCTTCTAGGGTTTCTCTTGAGAGGTTTTATCAAGCACCATAGCTTGGAGGCAGGAAGCACTCTTCTCATCACTAGGAAGAGTTAGATACCGGATTGGTATAATAGCCTAGCGATCTAGGTGAGGAAAGATGGAGGACCTAGAATGTTGGGTTAGCAACATGGAGAGAAGTCACGAGTTTCTCTAGAAGACTCTGAATGAAATCATAAGCAGACTTGAGGCAAGGCTGACGTTGGAGGGAACTTGGCAGTGGCTAGGAGTAGGAGGGTTGCAGCAAAGGAGGGAGAACTCAACTCATGAAATTGGAGTTTAGATACAATCTCTATCCAGATTGAAGGTGGAATTACCAAAATTTGATGGAACTAATATGGATAGTTGGGTTGATGTTGTCAGCGCACAATTTTTGCTTGATTCCTTCACCATACCTCTTTGTACTCTACTCTTAGACCCCAAAACTTAGAAACACAATTAGATCAAATTAAGACTTTACAAAGCCAAAAATCCCTCTTTTGACACAATTCACAAGACAAATGAAAACCTCAAGATCAACATCGACGCCCAATCGAATATAATCTACAGACTTAGGAAACTATAAATTAGTCACACATTCACTAGTCATCATGCCAACTTCCTTTCTCATGGCCCAAATCCAATGCATCCATTGCCTCAAGATTATTAGGACACAATTAATTAGCGAATCCCACTAAAGTCTACAATGATCAACCTTGAAAGCCCTAAAATTCCATTATGAGGGCCCTGATTTAGAAAACCTATATTAACCTCTTTTAAATCAGAACCGTCTACTTGACTCCTCACATTAATCTGTGCCTATCCGCTAAATTTCATTCTAAAACTCCCCCGTTTAACACACCATCAAGCTTAGATCATATTTCAACAAATATCATCGATTAGAGCTTATCATCCACCATCCCAACTTCATTTAACCGGTCATACCTCACCACTGTGTTTAGAGACACAAAAAACCCCAGCACATCAAATTTCATAACTAAACTTCTCCATTTAACCGTTAAAAAATGAGATTCCATTTCAGACAATCTCGTTAACAAATAAATCATTGACCTAAACCAAACCTCTGATCAAAGATTCATCACTTCCATCAGATTTAGGATGTTAAAAAATGCTTACCCACCAAATTTCATCCCAAAATTCCCCCGTTTGACCCTTTATCAAATAAAGACTCTATTTCAGCAAAGCCTATTAATCTAAAGTTCTCAGCCATAGATCTCTATCATCATGACCCTATTTGGACAATCAAACCTCAGCATTGTTTTTAGAGACTCAAAAAACTGGCACATCAATTTCCACGTCCTAATTCACCTATTTGACCGTTAAACTAGGAATATGTCATTTCGACGTGCCAGATCGAATTGCCACCTCATCTGTCCAAACTTGAAACCTCAAAAGGGAGATAGCTGATGTCAAACCCATTCTTGACTTGTTCAAACACTTGGACCAATGAAATTGAGCCTAATAGACCCAAAAAGCCTAAAAACCTAAAGATACTCCCACTTAAAATTGAGAAAAGACAACATCATATTTAAAAGTTCATTAAATTTATATTTTCTGCCATGACAACCCCAAATACGAGACTGCCATGACAGGCACGCCCCAAGCTCCCATTAGACGCACAAAACCCATGAAAACCACTCCTAAATTGAAGAAAACCTTTCACCAAAGAGGAAGGCTTGATCGAACACCATTTTCTTTGAAAAATCTTTACCTATGTTACTATTTATGTAAAAAAATCTCTATCGAATCCCAAACACTATAGTTGAATGAGTTTCAAACCTCTTCCTCTCCCTTCATCTATAAATACAGACCCAACTCAAGCTATAGAGAGGGGAGAAAACTAGAGGGGAGGAGAGAACACTAGAAAGAGAGAGATCTAAAAGAGAAGAAGAGAAAAATGACAATTTTCCCAACCTCTGTAATGTCTCCATTTTACTTGAAATCCCAAAGTCCTTGAAGATCAAACTTCAAATCCGCCCATCTGTTTTCAACTGCAAAATTTGAAACCAAAAGTGCTCAATCCATCCCAATATATCATTCACACTTCTTTGAACTTGTTCCCACTGTTGGGAAACTCCCGTCAAGATTGTACACGAGAGGTAAGTCTCTCATTCCATCATTTTTTCTAAGTTTGAATTCGTAAATCTCTGTTTTTAGCTTAGTTCTAGGTTGCTTGAGGTCCAAAAACCATGGGAAACTTGCATCCCCGGTTTCATCCAGGTTGAGAAAAAGAAGAAGAGATGCGAGGGTCTTAGGTAAATCAGTACCTAAGACCCGATAACATCACCTCAAATCAATTATGGATAAGGTTGGAAGCATTTTTGCCTGATTTTTGGAGCTCTAAGCAACCATTTTTATTGGCGTTTTGTTAGATGTAGAGCCTATCCAACTCCCGTATTGGGCTGCTATAGCAACTTGGAGAAAAGGGTGCCTAACACTTTCCCTCTCCCAATCCTTAAGATCTAAAATCTCTCGGTTAGGTGCATTTCCTAGCAAAGAACAGAATCACTATCAAAGCAAGCAAATCGATTCAGATCTAAGAATGATGGCCCATTTTCTTTAAAAAATATGGATGGCGATTCCATTTCTTTGAGTTGACTATGAACTTTCTAGAACTTCTAAATGTTGATCCATTAGTACTTCGAGCTTCAAGAAGTACTGACAAAGCAGAGGTTGATGGTGGCGAGTGTGGAGTTTGAAGGAAGGGCAATGAAGTGGTTCTACTGGCTTAAGGATTACTGGCCAACACTGACATGGGACCAATTCGTAGAGGCAGTGGATAGTCGGTTCAACAGGCCCTAAGGAGGTAACCATACGGGAAGGCTGACAAAGCTAGTTTGAACCACAACAGTACAAGACTATTTGGATACTTTCCAACGCTCGTCGATCTGGGTGAAGGGGTGGTCAGAGGAGCATTTCGTGGCTAGCCTTAATCTAGAGCTGCGTGCAAGGGTAGGAAAGTTGGAACCTCCTATGGTGACCAGGGCCATTCGGTTAGCATTATTAGACGAAGATGAATGGAATGCCTAGAGGTAGCTGACTCGGCTAGACTTATAAGGAGCGCATGGCCAAGGGCTTGTGCTACAACTACGATGAGGTGTATCATCCCCAACATAAGTGCAAGATCCATTTTTTTTTTTTTTGAATTGTTGGACTTCCCACTGGAGGACAAAGATAATTAGTAGGAAGAAGAAACAACACTAGAGATCTCACTACAAGCGCTCTTGGGTACCACACCATCGCATGCTATGCGATTAGTTGGTAGAATTCTAAACCACCCCTTGGTTATATTAATTGACAATGGGTCTACTCATAATTTTTTGGACCCAAGAGTGGATGAGAAGACCCAAATATACCCAACTGAGAACACATCTTTTGAGGTTATGGTGGCTAGTGGAGAGAAGTTGTAGGGAACTAGTAAATGTACCAAGGTTCCCCTTTCCATTTGAGGGACCACGATCACCCCAGATTTCTATTTGCTACCCACACTTTGGGTCCAATAGTGTGGGACTTCTCCACCCTATGCCTTAAATATTCAAACCATAAGGGTGAATGTACTTTCAGGGGATTGAGAGACAGGGAGGCCAAAATAATAGACCCAACCAAGACCTTGAAGCCTTTGGGTAAAGTCTATCAAGCTTACTTGATCCAACTACTAAGTTGTACTGAGATTGTTCAAGACCAACCTGACCCAACAATTTAAGCCATTGTGGAGGAAATTAAGGGAGTGCCTGAGAAGCCCATTGCGCTGGCCCCATCCAAAATTATGGCCATGAAATTCCATTATTAGAGGAAGGCAGACTCATCAATGTCAGACCATATAGGTACCCACAATACCAAAAGAAGGAAATTAAAGTATTAGTGAAAAAGAAAGATGGGGGATGGATGATGTGTGTAGATAGTATGAGATAGATTTCTAATGCCTATTGTTTGATGAACTTCATGAAGCTTTCATTCTTCCTATGTTGGTCCTCAGGTCCAGTTTTCATCAGATCTAGATTAAAGCAAGGGATGAACACAAAATGGCATTTAGGACCCATAAGGCTCATTATGAATTCTTAGTTATGCAGTTTGGAGTGACAAACGCTCCCCCTTTTTTAGGCATTAATGAATGATATATTCAAGGAACATTTGTGTAAATACATATTGGTGTTCTTTGACGATATACTGGTATATAGCAATAACCTTGAAGAGCATGTGGATCATTTGAGAACATTTCTAAAGATACTAAGCTTCCATCAATTGTATGTGAAAAGGAGTAAATGCGAATTTTCCATGAAGGCTTAGTTTGGCAAGAGTATAAATACAAATATGTACGGTACAAATATATACAAAATACAAGGTTTTGCACTCTACATATTTGTATTTGTATTCTTTCCAAACTGAGCTGAAGTAGATTTAGTGCATGTTGAACTGTTTTTGGCCCAAAAACTATTAAAGGGCTGTGTGGGTTTCTGGGCCTAATAGGATATTATAGGAAGTTCATAAAGGGGTGTGGAGATATAGTACATCTTTTGACCCAATTATTGAAAAAAGGCAAGATGGAGTGGAATGAATTAGCAGAAACGACATTCAAATGACTCAAGAAGGCCATGACTACAACTCCAGTGCTTGCCTTCCCGGATTTCTCATAGCCATTTGTAGTGGAGATAGTACATGCATTGTGGCTGCCTTCTTCAAAGGTGGAAAGCCCATTGCTTACTTTAGAAAGGCCCTCCAAGGTAAGAACATACATTCTTCAACATATGATAAAAAATTGCTTGTTATCTTAGCTATACAAAAATGGCATCCATATCTTTAGGGGAGCAACTTCTAGATCAGAACTGACCACTGAAGCCTTGGATTCGTAGCAGAAGTTAGACACTTCTATCCAATAGAGACTTATGGGAAATTGGTGGGCTATGATTTCGAAATCTGCTATAGACGAGGAAGAGAGAATATCACTTCTGACTCTCTGTCCATAAAGGAACACATGGAGTTGTTGGTAATTATTAGACCTTTGAGTGAGAATTCTGAGGAGGATTTATATATAGAAGGAATTTTAAAACCAACAACTAATATCGTTGTTGGTAATAACATATTGGTGGATTCGAAAATGCATGGATACACCGATAATAATAATAATAAAAAAAAAAGCCTTTGGGGTTTTAAAACTTTGGAGGCTTATAAGGCTTTGTTTGGTTTGTGGGAATAAGGGTCTGCAATCGGAATTGGAATGAGTTATTCCGATTTCAATTATTTGGTTGAGTGGAATCAGAATCTTATTCCCCCATATGAGAGAATGGCCATTTCTTACCTATTCCTTGGGAATGAAATCTCATTTTTGTCTAAATCAAATAGACTATGAAAATAAACCATTTCAATTCCGATTCTGGCTATGAATTAAATGGACCCTAAATGGTTTTAAATCCAGCAAAATGCATATTTTTTAATACAACTTTTATAGCCTTCTCAACCTTGCAACATGATCGCATAAAAAAGGCTCATTGGATGTCACTCCGGATCTTCTACCCACAAAATCTTCCCACGTTCCTATCCACAAGATGCTATACCACCGTATATATATTGGGGACATTTCTCCGTGAATGACAAAGTGATATGTCCAATGCGAATTCACATCTGCGCCCCACAACATCCCACAGTACATTCCCGCCGTGCATTGGGAATATCTCTCGATGATAGTATCAGTCCTGATGATGTCATCATCGGGAGATGTTCCCAATACACAGCGGGGATGTGCTGTGGGACACTGTGGGGTGCAGATCTGAACTCGTCCAATGCATGCCTGTAATGTCCATTGATTGTGGGTAGGAGAGCCGAGTTCCATTGATTGTAAGTATGTCGTAACAGTTATATAAGTAATGATGATGATGACCGATTTCGAGCTGAGATGTCAAGGCAGAGTATGTGTAGGAGCGTTGCTGGAGTTGTGAACCATGATACAATTACTTAGGGGGTGTTTTACAACATGAACGTTTTTGCTTTCATTTATTTTTTGAATCACCACATCAATAAAAAATGAAAAATATATTCTTGAACTCTGTTTTTGTTTTCAAAGGAAAAAAACGGGTTGGTTTTGTTTTAAAAAACAATACATATTTTTTAAACCAACAAAACAATGGGTTTTTAAGCAAAAATAAATTTTTATATAATTCATGGAATATGATATTAAATAATCAAATGAAAATATGTTTTTAAAACCAAATTCATGAACATGTTTTTAGTTTCAGTTTTGAAAAAACACACACAATTAAGAACATGTTTTTGTATTTTTGTTTTAAGAAATAATCTATTTTCAAACTAAATGGTTTTAATTTCTTTTTAGAACCGGCAACAAGAAAAAATAATTCATGTTATAGAACGTCCCCTTAGTGGTAGAGTTAAAAGGTCATTCTGATCCAACTCATCATGGATTCTGGAAATTGTTAGCACCCGAATGGAGAATCTGGCTGGTTGGACCGGTGGATAAACCATGGACGTTGCTCAATGCAGGATGTCAAATGCAAGTACCGAGCTGGTGCCTGCCTGCCTGATGGGGAGAAAGTGACGGCCTCTGGCCTTACGCGCACTTATTAGCTACTGAGAGTCTGAGACAACAAAAGCATTTGGTTGGGCGCCAACAAATTAAATAATAAAGTTTGATAATTTATATTTAGTAAGATACATAAAAAGAAAGATATAGGTGCTGTTTGACAAGTGTTTTTAGGAAGATGTTTAAAGATGTAGGATCGCTTGATAAGTATCCTAATCTACCATCATCTATATATAGAGATGTTAAATAGAAAGACCATTTTGAGCGTTTTAGGATATAGGTCTATTATGGTTTCCTGTTATTTGTTGCCAAAAAGAGAAACAAAAAATTTTGATTTTCCGAGCTTTGAAAAGCCCAAAACCCTACCAGAAGAATTGCCAACACCTCCATATTCAACAGCAAATCTTGCAAAATGGCAACCGACAACAGAGGCTATCTAATGTTGGGTAACTGTATCCTTGTCCTTGTGCAATTGAAGGCGTTCACTTGAGTTTCTTTCCTTAGTAGGATCAAACAAGATCTTTGGTGAATCGCCCAATTCAATACTTGCCCAAACAGGAACAGGCAATGGTGAAATTTCCTTTCTTTACATGGGCGAGATTTGGTCAATCCATGCAGTATAAGCTGGGTTGACGATCTGATTATCACCTTATTCTGCTTCTGATCAGTTGAGGAATTTAATTAGATGGGCATGAGGTCTTGCAAGGCTGCTGGAACGAACTGAGCAGTCCAAAAGGATATAGTTATCCTTGGTCAGCTTTATTGATATCAGATCGATTAAACCGTTGATTTAAACCAAAGATGGAGCCGTGGTTGCGTTGCTGTTGCAGATGATTCATGTGTAGTCAAGCCTTGTGTCGTTGACGACGCCATTAATAAGGAAGGAGATGCCTTGAGAGATAAAGAGAGAAAAAACGGTAGCCTGAACTTGAAACATAAATGATTGGAGAATAATTCGGAGTCTGAATATCTCATGTCATTTGATGTGTTCGTGTGAGTATTTATATACAGATATTGTGTTTTGATTACAAAATTTGTAAACAACAAGACAAATCAGTTGTCTTGGTAGCCATAGCAGTGAAAACTGAATTCTATTGGTTGAGTTCATTCAATCGTCCAACTAAAATAGTTAATTACCCATAACCAGTGAAAACTGAATTCTCTTTGTTTGAATCAGAGAATATTGTTGATTCGTTCCTGTAACGCCCATCTTGTCCCAGGTCAGAGGTATTACAGTGGGGTGAACAGAAAATCTTTTAATTAAAACCCCCCAAAACTAAACTTCCTGCAACTAATTTACTTCACAGGCTGCAACTCCTGCTGGAAAGAATTCTGGCACCAGCATTGTACGTATTTGGAGACTCTCTGCTTGACAGTGGCAACAATAATCTTCTACCAACAATTGCCAAAGCCAATTATCTTCCATATGGGATAGACTTCGCCGGTGGGGTCACGGGGAGATTCACAAATGGCAAAACAATCTCAGATTACATTGGTAAGTCATGGTATCAAACGTAAAACATTGAAAATAGCCCACAACTATCAGAATATTTTCTTCTGCTGTATTCATCTCAATGCTACTTGTTATATATTCTTCCACAGCTGAACAACTTGGGCTATCATTTTCTCCTCCATCCTTGAGCCTGTTCAAGTCTGATACCATAACTGGCCGGAATTATGCGTCGGGATCATGTGGCATTCTCCCGGAGAGTGGAAGCCTATTCGTAAGGAATCATGTCTAGCTACTACTAGTCATTAGATATTAATGGCTTCTCTCTCAGTTACTTTTGTTTTCTCCAGTTTGGACAAATGGGTTTTGTGCAGGGTAAGTGCCTCAACCTAGATGATCAGATCGACTTGTTCCAAAAGACTATAGAGATGGAACTGCAACCACACTTGGGCAGCTCTGTAGAGCTTTCAGACCACCTTTCCAAGTCCATCTTTGTTATCTGTATTGGAAACAACGACTACATCTCCAACTACCTTGAACCTAATCTTTTGAATACCAGCAAAACGTACACTCCTCAAGCATTTGCTCAACTACTCGGAGGCAGATTTTCTCAAGGCATGGAGGTAAATATTCATCATTCACTGTTCAGTGTCCACATTCCTAAGTAGACACTTAGGGTCTTTTTGATTGTTGAGAAAGGAATGAGAAAAGGGAATATTCCCGAATTATTCTTCTTTTTTTGTGTTTGTTTACCGGTAAACAGTGTTTTGCGATGAGAAACAAGAGGGATACGGGATCCCAAAATTAAGTGAGCGGGGTCGCACCAGAACAATGCGACCCCGGTGAGAAAAGAAAACGCTAAGAAAATGCAAGCTGAGCAATCTAATACAAGGTGGGATGTGGTGTAAAATAGATTCCAATTGGACGAAGAAAAAAGGCATTCCCTCACTAAGGTGGTGTCCTTTGCCTTTAGGCGGCCGAGAAACATCAAAAGAGGAGGAAAAGGGGCGAAATCCAAGATCGGAACTCGAGAGTCCAAATTCCGAATAGAAGGAAGCGACAAGAAATGGAACAGAAGGGCGGTCGTCATCGTTTTTGATCAATCGATATTCGAGTAACGAGATGGTGGCGATCTCACTGTACAAAGGGAACCTGCACAGGGTTCCCGACGTCCCTCAGCGGTGGCTCATGCCAATCCCTCGCATTTCCCTCAAAGATTTCAGGATTCTCCTCCGCAAATGGGAGAAAGCTCTGTCTCGCATCTCCAGCACCACCGCCCCCACTAGCTCAAATCCCAACCCTAACCCTAATTTCAATCAAGAGGAAGGCGTTGGAGACAATGGCTGTTCCAAACAAAATGGGAGAAAGCTCTGTCTCGCTTCTGAGCCCCAATACCAGCCAACCATCGCCAGGAATTCTGAAGATGCGCCATCCCAGCATGGAACAGTTGAACACGCCAAAGATCATAGTGAAGCAGACTGCGGTCCTCGTGTTGAGCAATCTAAAGAACTCGGTGGCTCTATTGGCATTGAAAAACCATTTCAGGGGATACCCGACGCTGACGCCAACGACGAATCCGACGATCTCTACCTCATGACGGTTAATTTCATGTCTCAATGGTTGTCGGCTATCTCAGGACAGTTGAAATCTCTAGCAATTTCGGATTTCTGGATTCAATCTTGCTGGCGACGATCCGAAGTCCTGTCTCTGATTGTTGGCGACAATCAACTCAAAAAAAATTTCTCGCAAAACAAACACTAGAAAGTGGATTTTATCACAAAAATTTTCTCAGCAAACAAACATATTATAACTAACTGAGAAAATAAATTTTCCTTTTCTCATCCCATCCTTTCTCAGTCCAATTTTCTCAGCAATCAAACACATGCCCAGTATTCACATTGTTTTCTTTATATATATATATAACCTTCAATTTGAACTCTAAACCTGAGTAGTAATCCTAATACAACCAGAATACGTAGCATAAAAATCATTTTGACCATTTTTCTTTTCAAGTGTCACAAGGGAATTCTGAGCGGATGTAAACTCTTAAAGATGGGGTGGGAAATATAAGCCACTTTTGCTACGATAGCCCTGCTCTGGAGTCTGAAATAACAACATCAAAGCCTTTGATGTATGATCTTGAATTAGAAAAACTTATTAAGGCCATGATTCTCGGTTTTAACCCTTTATCAAGACACTATCGTAGCAACAGAAAACTCTTCTAGCAGGTAGCAGAGGAGTTGGAATTATAATCTACTTTACTCTGAATTACATTACGATATATCATACATCAGTTCCTCTGTTCCTGTACGTGTGGGGTCTATGTATCATCTGGTTGACGTGGTGTTTCATGATCCATGCACTTTTTTAGGGAAATTGGATTATTATATTATACGGCCTATCGTGGAGTTTATATTGGCTTTACCAGCTCAACCAAATAAGCACCTTTATTTCTCCATTATGGCACTAAAAGGATGTAATTATTTGAGTGGGTGGTTCAGACTTAAATTAAAACTCCAATGAGATCCATTTTTTTTATGCTGCTTCCAAAGACCCAGAAACTCTTTGCTTAATTAAGAATCGGGGTTTAAAAATAAGCCAGTTCTAAACCAAATTGAGAGGTTTGGTTAAGAGATATGGTTCAAGTTTTAACAGATTGTGGCACATCCATCTGGTTTTGATGGTTTTTTGTTGCAAGATGTGGATGGTTCATTCTCATAGGATTTTCAATGGAACAATATGGCCAGACTGAGAAATAGATCACTGGTTCCTAATATTCATGGTCCAACCGGCCGGACGGTTCGATTTGGGTTTTACTACACTGCAAACTGTGCAATGAAAAGATAAGTCGAATGGGTATCTTAAAATTAGGATCATATAATTGATTTATGAATGTTAAATATTGGAAACTTGACGGCAATAACAGCAATATGCATGGTACATTTATCCTTTGATTTATTGACAAATAAATGGACAGAGTCTTTACAAATTGGGGACCAGGAAGTTTCTAGTGTTTGAGATTGGTACGATTGGGTGCATGCCAATATTTACAAGGACACTACAACACGAAGGACCATGTGTTGAAGAACTAAATCAGCTTGTATCACTTTTCAACGATGGGCTTCCTGCAATGCTGAAACAACTGACAACTTCGCTCCAAGGCTCCACCTTTGCAGTGGGACATGGTTCGAAACTTGGATATGATATGATCACAAATCCTTCAAAATATGGTGAGCATTGATATCAGAACTAATTGTACCTTAAATTAATAATCCCTGCTATATATATATATATATATATATATATATATTCTCTGATATATACCTAGCTACTGCTCAACGAATATAAGGTTTTACTTGCATCTGTGGATTTTCTTCATCAGGGCTAACAGATGCAACAGACCCATGCTGCATTGCGGGGAACGGTGGAACTTTGAGCTGCATTCCAGGTTCAATTTCGTGCTTCGACGTGGACAAACATGCCTTCTGGTTCAACCATCGGGACCCGTTGCTTTAATGATTCTTCTGCTCACCAACCATCCAGCAGCTCGTGCAAGTTTGAAAAGCAACAATAAGGGACGATCCCCCCCCCATAGCTATATATATTGAGTCATTTTTTCACATGATGCTCTTATAGAGTGGTATGTGAAGACCATCTGTTGGCAATTTGGTATTTTACTGTGTGGGCTGGAAATGCATAAATATAATCTGAAATTCTTAACAATCTCGATATGCAGCCAAAGAATCCGAGTTGAGCAGTTTTGGATGCCGAAGGTATATGATGAGGGTGGATTTGGCCCTCTAGTGAAATTGTGACACCTGGCACCTCATGCAAACCAAGTGCAGCCTTTTGACGACTGGGCAGTTCGGGCAGCTCGGTACAGCTCAGGCAGCTCGGCACCTTACAGGTAGCTCGGCATAGGCAGCTGGCCACAGGCAGCTGGCCACTCCGTAGGTAGCCTGGAGTCTTACGAAGAGCTCGCCACTTAGGGGCAGCTCGGCGTATCGCAGGAAGATCTCCTGCCTGACAACTGTACCTGACTGATCCGGAGACCTGCGCCCACGTCTCTTGCTAGGCGGCGCCATGCCTGCCAATCCTGAGAGCTGTCCCTTGACTGGCAGAGCCGTACTCTGTAACAGCCGCTTGCACCTGCCACCTCAGCTCTGAGAGTAACGGCTGCGGCAGAGAGACAGAGGCAGTTACGCCTGATTTGACAGGACACCACTATATAAGGACTCCGACCCCCAAAGACAAGGGGGAGAGAATGAAGAAATGGAGGTAATCCTTGCTCTCTAGCTCTCTCATTTCTCTCCAAGCTCCCTACAATCAGAATGCTAACTTAGGCATCGGAGAGTCCCTACCGGGAAAATACCCCCGGGAGAGGATGAAGAAATGGAGGTAATCCTTGCTCTCTAGCTCTCT